AATAACCTATGAGTGAATTATTTTTATTATTATTTGAGCTTGTATTATTGCTTGAATGATGTATAGTAATCCATATCAATCAATGTCTATTAATTTAAAAAAGATAATTATTATCCATTACTATGAATTACAGATATAGAAAATTTAGGAAAATTTTAGATATAATTTTATAAAATAAGCATTACAATAAAGTAGTGGCGTCACTAGAAAACGGGGCAAGGGCTCGAGCCCCCTGAAAAATTTGAATAGCCCCCTGAAGCAAAAAAATTTTCTTTTAATGACTCCTTAATATCCCCTTGAACTAAAAATTAATTATTTTGATTTGCCCCATTAAAGATTTCTTTTATAATTCTATTATGTAATATTTAAATTTAACTTTATTATTTAAAAATCAATAAGACTATCTAAATTTTTATTAAAATATTATTTTAATTATTAGATTAGATTAATACCTATAAATTTAATTTTCACTATGTCAGCTTGCAATTGTGTTAAAAATAGATTATCAATATCACTCACTAAATATTAATTAAGCATTAATAGTTGAAGCTTAATTGACTTTTTTTATTTAAATTATTATATAAACCTAATTAATAAATAAATTTGATCATTAAATTAACAAATTTAATATAGTAATTAGCCGAGTTCAAAATCACTAATCAACTATATTATTCATCTTTTTAATTACCATGCCTCTTCCCAAAAATATTTTCAAGTTGCAAATTATAAAAGATATCTGTTTAATTAGGTAAAATGTCACTTTTATAGACGTATTTGACATATTATTACAGTTAATATTTTAATAAATTTTACTAATAAATGCTTATGATAATAAATATAAGTAACAATTTGCATTCAATTCTTTAACGCCATCTATTTATTTTAAGATTAAACATATTATTCACCCCATATTGGAGTAATAAATTAGATATCTTTCTTCTCTTTTTTTATGTGTTTTTAGGAAAGCTATTTTTTTTTATATTTGCAGTTTTGAGTTAAATTTTTAATAAGAGTATATTCTTGATATTAGTACAAACTACTGTTATTTTAAGATATAATAAATTAGAGGTGATGCGACAATAATATATAAAATCTTAATTGCCTTCATCATATCACTCTGGTTCTTAATTTATATTTACAAAATGTTTCATTTCTAATATGCATCCTTGACGTGTAAATACCTAGGCTTCAATATAATTGCGTGATTTCCTTTAAGATTTTTAGTGTTTTTGTTTTACCAATTTATCTAACATAATAAATTCTGATATGAGTAAAAATTGTGTGTATTATGGATATGATTATCTATTATTTCTGTGGCTATGTAAGTTAAGATTATTACTACAGCTGCTGAGAGCATATGATTGCATATTTTAGATAAGCAATATTGGTCAATAGTCGTTTATATATGATTAAAAGTGAAAGATAATCTATTAGAAATTTAATATCTCACAATAAATTTCTCGATTACTTATCTAACTTCCATCATGTAATCTAAGAGGAAGCTCCAACCACCATATAGTTTTATGGATTGGTCGTTTATACACCCTTCTTAATTTGGTTATCCTATAAATATTTTGCTTATTAGTTCATTCTATAAAACATTGTCTAAAATGGTTACAGAGAGTTATATTTTTTTTTATAAGAATAATATTTTATTTCATAAAACATCCAATAAATTAATATAAATAAATTCAAAATTCAATATAATAAATATCAATTACAAATAGTATATAAATTATTAAGAAAACACATATTGTAATGTATATAAATTATTAAGAAAACACATATTGTAATGTATATAAAAAACTAGATTAAAAAAAATATAAATTAAAATTCCAAAATCAAATCACATAAATTTGAATTAAAAATCAAATGTATATAATAATTAATTATATGAACGTATAAATAAAGTCTATATTAAAATGCCACAAAAGGAATATGAATAAAAAAAATAATTTAAAACTACCAATGAAGAACGGGGATAGTATAATGATAGAAAAAGGATTTAATGGCTCTTTGGCTATTAAACTACCATTGAAGCTGATATAATTGGCTTTAAGGATTGCTATGGCTAGCCTTTGTCGAAGAAAAAAAACCCTCTCGAGGTTCTTTCGAATGTTTGCTGATGTGAGATTCTAAATTTTTGAAAAAAAGCTAAGGCAAGTTTGCCGAAGGTGGCAAGTGTGGTTGAAATAATTGGAATTAAACAATGGTCATTAGTAATTTCTGTGTATTTCGAGGTTTTAAGCTGTTCCTTCTAGTCTATGATGTTGAGTGTCTGGTTAGATGGGGCAAGGGGGTCAATACAAGAAAAGTCCCATACTAATAATTGGCCTCTCCTCTACGGAATTTGAGTGATGCCGTCTGGACGTTTCATCAGATCTGAAAAGACCCTGAGGTTCAAGTATGGATGGGATTTGTGCTGATTTCAAGGCGTGTTGGATGATTGAATTGCATTGCCTGAGTCTAATGAATCGACCATTGCAGGAGCGACAATGTATGTCTTCCATTCGTGTCGACGGGCGAGTTACAGCATGAACAAATGTGAGGGTGGGTGATTGAGTAATTTAGACGAATACCGATGGCGTGGGTAAGTTCATTGTTCGAAAGTTGAAGTTGAAGATTGATAGAAGGAATGGCCTCGAGAAACTCGTGTCCAGTACCATTGAGCAAGGAAGAGAATAGGGTGCGGTCAGTTAATTGCATGCTAGATAAGAGAGTTTCAACGCAGCGAGCAACTACTGGAGCATCCCAGTCCTTCCGTCTATGGGTTGTGGGGGGATGAGAATCAACATTGATTCGAGTTTTCCAATATTTATGGCCTCAATTAAGGAAAGATCTTCTTTAGAATGATGGGCGTTTGTTATTTACTTTGACAAGAGACTACTAGATATGAAAGTGGTTGTTGCTAGATCATAAGGAGATCTAATGCCAAGTCCTCCTGATTTTGTGGGGAGCGAAGCTTGCGCCCAAGCGGATTCGTTGAATCTTAGATTTATTATTTTTTCGGTTAGGTCTTTTATTCCGTTTTCGTATGTTTTTAATGGAGAAGGATATTTAAATATGGACGTTGCGTGAAGTGCGTAAAGAATTCTTGGTATGAAAAAGAAATTTTTTAGTAAGAAAAAAGACTTGTGTGAGGGAAGATGAGTAAAGATGTCCTCAAGTTTAAGGATGATTTCAAGGGTGGAATGAAGGAAGGTACAAATTGCCTTATGTCTTCCTACGGGAGATCCTAAGTGTGTTAATTCATCAATAACACTGAATTTGAAATTATGTGAGTTTGGAGCGTTTGAATTCAATTGGATGAATTCGGATTTGCACGGGTTAAGAGAGAGTCAAATGGCAGTTCTCTTTTCATGAATTATGTTGACTGCTTTGTTAATTTCACTGTGGGAGCCACTTAAGATTCCGTCATCGATGTACCAAGCATGAAGCGCTAAAGTACAAGAAGCGTTTATTGATTTAATAATATAGTGGATTGGTAATATGAGAAAAGAAATTTGGTGTAAGCGGGGAAATAGGAACAAATGGAATGTAAGAAGGTGTTGCGGGAAAGAGTGTTGTATGGGTTGGAAAAGTCGATTTTCACTAAAGCTTCGTTTGGGTTATTTTCAAGATGAATTCTTGTTAAGTATACTGCTGCTTTACATCCACTAGGCACTCCAACACCCAATTGAAAAGGGCTGAGGATGTGTGATGCTTCGTGTTTGATTCTTGAGGAAATTAATTTTGCTACCAATCTTCGATAAGTTGATTGAGATGGGACGGATGCCCTTGTTAAGTTTTTGGAGTGCGATGAGTCTGGCTCTAAAGAGCAAGGGGTTTATAAAGCTTGATACATCTCTTTTTAAGATTTTATTGCATAAGTTTGTAATTTTGGTGAGAATTGAAACATGAGCACAAATCATGGGAGTGGTTATGTCCTGTAAGAAGATTTGTCTAATTCCGTTAAGTCCATGCGCTGAGTCACGATGAAATGATAGGATTGCTTTCCTTATTTCTTCTTGTGTGAAGTCTGCTGCACAATGTGTGTAAGGCTGTGTAATTATTGGATTAAGAGTCGAAGTTGGATGTTTTGAGCGTAGCTTGCTTAAGGTTTCTTCTGAGAAATCAGCAAGGGTTTCATTGGTCGAAATGAGTGAGAGCCCCTTTGATGTTAAGACTATCGATTTTCTTCGAGATCAATGAAGTTTTTTGCTTGAGTGGAGTTATTTTTTTTGGATGTGAATAGATTTGGGTATCTTGAAGATTGAAGATGGCTAAAGATATTTAAACTGGCGTCCTTTATTTGTTGAGTTATGGATTTATGGACTGATTTGTCAGGTATTTTAAAAGTATTGTAACCCAAGTAAAAGAATTTTAAAAATTATTCTTCATTATCAAAATTTTGCAGGAGAGAGGATATGCAGTCACTGAGAGATTTGGCTACTTGTATTCTCGCTCCTTTGGGTATTCTGGATATGATGCTTGGTTTTGTGGTATTGAGAAAATTGTCTGAGAAAGTGGTATTAGAGGCACGGTTTGAAGGTGGTTCCGAGAATGAGTTGGGAAGTGAGTAAGCCATATGAGAGAGAGGAGCAAGTCTAGAATGAGGACTCCTATTGGAAATTTATCCATGAACACACCTTCATTTGTTAAATGTATAAGTTTCCGGCAAGTAGGACATATTTTGGGTTCGAATGAGGTAACCATTTTTATAAAATCAATACGCGATTGAATTAGGAAAGAATAAGAAAAAAGAGTTTTAAGACCTCTTTTTAATGTAAATTGCTAAGAATTATTTAAAAACCATATTTTTTTAAATAAGCAATAGAAAATATTTTATAATATTATAAATAGATTTTGTTTGTATTGTTTTAATTATTTATATGTTAGTGTATTTTGTATGCATAATATTTTTTTTTCTTTTTAGCTTTCATTTCTGGTGGTAAGCTCTTTCATTATCTCTCTCCACTTTATGTTATACATGCTATCTGTTTTATCTAATTTATACGTTTTCATGGCTCTAGCCTTCCTCTTTTACGTTTGCCCATCACTTCCAAACTCTCAACTTTATATCCTATATAGTTCATAGGCCTTCTCATTGTGTGCCCATACCACCTAAGTCTGTTCACCCTTATCTTGGTCTTAATAGGCACTACCTTTAAACCTTCTAGAATTCTTGTACGCACCTTATCCTTTCTTGATACCCCAGCAATCATCCTCAGCATTCTCATATCCATAGTTTGTAGACTTCTCTCGTCTGATTCTTTGGTTGGCCATGTTTCCAAACTATATAGAATAGTGGGTTGTACTATGGAACTGTAATCTTTTCCCTTCAATGTGAGGGATTCTTTTGTCAAAGAGCACTCCAGATAAAGATCTCCACTTTAACCACCCTTGATTGTTTTTACTCTTTATCTCTTTCTCCATTGAGCCATTTGTTTGTATAGTGGATCCCATGATCTTTTCAATTGGCAATATCTGCCATTCATTTATATCAATGCTCTCTATTTCATCTCCTATCACCATATACTCCGTTTCTAATCTTTCTACCATTTCATCCTTGGATTCGGCAAGTATCACAAAATCATCTGCAAATATCATATTCCACGGGACTGTTTGAGGTATAGACTGTGATGTGATAATACATCTATTACTGTTATGAAGAAAAGTGGGCTGAGAGCCGACCCTAGATGAACTCCCTCGTTTATTGTGAAGCCTGTTGAAGTACCAATTGTGCTACGGACCATTGTTGTAGTATTATTCTAATATATTTTTCGGGAACCTTTCCGTGGCATAGTGCCCACAAGATTAGTTTTTTTGAGATTCTATTGAAGGCACTTTCTAGATCGATGCATAATATAATAAATGCTAAAATATGAAGTTCAGAATAATTGTTCAGAATTAACCAATTTTAAAAAAGTGTAATATATTAATATAAAACCCGGCCGAAGACCGGTCAAAGCGGGCTGAAGGTCCGCAAATTAGGGAGTGAGCGAAGCCCCCTTTAATTTTTTTAGTTTTTCGATATAAAATAGTAAAGGCTAGCGACGCCCATGTAATATAGAATCATATATAAATAATCAAATTCATAAATAATAAACTTTTTAACAGATCTGATATCAATAAATAATAATGGGAAAATAATTATTATAAATATAATAACCATAATATATATTAAAATATTGAATTTAGTATTTTACTTTAAATGTTTGAAACTAAAACAAATTATCCGGGGTGATCAATATGGTCTGGGTATTATTATATGTCATTGGATGCACCATAAAAAAGTGACAATAGTTATGATCGTTATTTATTAACTCTTTTTGACATAAATAGGTAAAAATTTATAATATTACTAAGATGTTAAATTAAAATTAACACAGAAAAGCTACAATTTGTACAAATCATTTTTTTTTACTTTTTTGACACACTATTCAACTATTTTGCATTTAAATAGTCAATATACCAGAGTTGTCAAAAGATACTTTTTAAATGGATCTAGATACAGATACAACGTCTAAAATAATATCTAGATACAGATTATTTAATCAAAAATCTATCTAGATACAGATACAAATACCACATTTTTATATCTAGATACAGGATCTAGATACTTGTATCTAGATCTTAACAACTCTGCAATATACCTATTTATTTTATATTATGAGGAAATTTTAAGAAGTCAAAATTCCTTTAATAATTCTTAAGAAAAAAAATGAGTCTTTTCTATTTTTTTGTATCTTATTATTTTTTTTCATTCCTTTTTTTAAATGATAATCAGATTTTAATTTTTTTAAAATATACCCTGGCCGGGCCTTATATTTTAAAACCAGATATGTGAAATAGCCATTATAGCTTATAAAAATCAAAAATAAATATAATATATTTAAAAAAAATTTGAGCCTGGCCTGGCATTGCAAATGGTACCTCTGTAGGATTCTGATGATAACAAATTTTCAACCGATTTGATCGATACGTTAAAATTTTTTTTTAGGGTTCCCAGTCTTACATCCGACATATTATACAACTGACATTTTATTTTAAAAAAAATTTATTTATGAACACCCCTACCCCCTTTTCATTTTGGGAAATGATAATAACTATTTTTGATTTATAAAAATACTTTAAAATTATTCATTTATCATACGTATGTAGTCTTTTTTATATCTTGATATATTTTATTATACTCTCATATTTTTAATTTGTTTTTTTTGTTATACTCTCATATTTTTCATTTGTTTTTTTTTGTTTTTGGAACTATTTTTGTATTATTTTTATTATTTTTATGTTTTTTGTAGGCAAAATACTTCTACTCTACACCCCTGCCCCGCTCCTTCCCCCCTACCTATATAAACTCTGTATATATAATTTTAGAAAATATTATTTTTAAATATCTTAAATAAAAAAAAGGTATATTTTTTTTTTTATAAATATTATAAAAAAAAAACCAATCAGAAAAAAGAAGTAATCCAAATTTTATGATTAAAAATTTTGAATGAAAACTCTTTAAAAAGTTGAATTAATATAATTATATAAAGATATTGAACTATTCAAAATCTTTCATTTTTTTTTGGAATTTCAATAAGTGTTTATTGCAAAAAAGTTAAATCAAACTAGTATTTTTCACAGATTATTCTAATATTTCTGAAAATATATTATGGCCAGTTAAAGTTATAAGATTTAATAAATTAACCTCTAAAAAATCCATTACAACGATCATAAATTTTGGAAAAATTGCTATTCCTTAAAATTAATTTTTTTATATGATAAATTTTATAAATTTATATTTCATTTTTACGCCAATGATCAGAGAAGTTTTTTTTTATCCATCCCATTTATATAAATTGTTAGGAGTGTTAAAATGTTTGATATCTTTTGCAATTTTATCAATATTTACATTTCTCTAGTTCTCTACATTATTTTATTGCCCATGTCAAATATATCCGGATATTATTTTTATTCAACTATTTTGCATTTATTAAATAGCCATAACCTATTTATTTTATATTATGAGGAGATTTCAAGAAATCAAAATTCATTTAGTAATTCTTAGAAAAAACATGAGATAAATTTAACAATTCAACTCTGTTTTTATAGTTGTTTTTAATATCATTATAAACTCTTCTTATCTTATTCCTTTTTTTTGATACGTTAAAAACATTTTCTGGGTTCCAATCATAATATACATAAAATTTTATTTTGTAATTCAATTTGTAATTTTAAAATATGTAGCTCCTTAAGTAACAATTTCATTAAAATGATTATATTTATTCAAATATGACAATATATTAATATTTACAAATATTCAATTAAAAATTTTAATATAACGTGGTTTAAAACTTTTTTTGATTTAATAAAAAAACAATAAACAAATATAGAAATTAAATTGCTATTATAATAAATAGAGTATTTTTTAAAAATTTTTTAAGCAAATGAATTGAAAAAAAATGAAAAAGGCGAGGAAGGAGATAGACTAAAAAAAATAATTTAAATATTATAATTTATATAAAAATAGAAAATCTTTTAGATGAAACTCATTTTTTTAATATAAATTTAGCTATTTTTAACCTTAAAAATCATTTTTAGTTTTATTTTATCCTCCTCTAGCTGGCAATTTTTTTTTTATTATTTTGTCTATTTATATAAATTTTTATACATATATTTTTATTTAATATTAATTTTTTTTTTATTATTTTGTCTATTTATATAATTTTTATATATTAATTTTTTTAATATTAACTTTTGTTTTTTATATAAAAATAAATAAAATCATCGATTTGCATACAAAATGAGATAATGAAAAATATATAATAGCAAATTTTTTCAAAATTGCAGCCATTTTTTATTTAAAAAATCTATTCATTTATCATCTACTTTCATTATTTTTATTATTAAGTGTGTATTGAGTCTTATGGAGGAAATCTTAATAGTCATAATGATGTACCTATTCATACAACTTAGCTAATATTGTATGGCTATATAAAATTCTCTCTTTCTATTGATTATCATACAAAACATTGCAACTTTAAGATCAGGGGATTCCATAGAAAGACGAAATTAAATATCTTAATTTTGAAATTTCATTTTTTTGGGCGAAATACATTATATTTATATAAAATTTTAAAAAACAAGATTTAAAAAAAAATTAACCCTTTATTGCAAAGGTAGGACTATGCAGACCCCAGTCGTTTTAAAAAACTTTGTACTTAAAATTCTTTCGATATTTTTGCCTGAATCATTTAGTAGCATACATTTTAAGTTAAGTATATGTGTGCAAATGCAAATTAAGAAGAGAACAATTTGTAAAAATAAATAATCTAAATTAATTAATATAAGATATATTTTGATATTAATATTGAACTATTTCCTTTAGTTTACAATAAAAGTTCATATTTAGAATTGCAATTCGCGAATCGAGTTTGTAGAGTATAATAATATTTTCAGGTTAGAGAAAAGATAATTTTAAAAAAGAATTCAAATTTATTAATACAAGATAATTATTTCAATGTTAATATTGAACAATTCTTTCTCGAGTTATAAATATGAATAACGAATTCAACAAAAAATACAGAGTAAAATATTATATAAAGTTGATTTTAGTCGATGCTCTGGCTTTTAGATTTGGTCAACCTGATCGACCCATTTGATTGAGTTGGATCTTACTTATTTTCTTTGACGAAAATTTTACCAAAACCCAACCAAGCAATTTAAAAACCCATTAGAATATTTAAAAAATTTGGACTTGTGACTTAAAACTAACTTTTGCTTTATTGCTCGGAAAGGCTCGCTATTTATGTTATTGCAAATAGCAGGAACACACAATAAATATACGCTTAAATTATAAAGGTTAGAAAGTATCGTTTTATAATATCATGTATAATAAGGCAAAAAATTTAAGATGTTGCGAAAATATTTTTTCTTAAAAAATAATTAGACTGGGTGCTAATTTTTTAAAATTAGATGGAATAGCTCCGCTCTGACAACAAACCTCATTAAAAAATTAAAAAAAGTTAGATAATAACGATTATGACAATTGTAACCTAACATGTTTTTCAAAAATATTTTTGTCAAAAAACTTTTAAAAAGTAAAATGATAATGATTATGAATGTCACTTTTGTTATGGTATATCGTTATTGTTTTAATTTAACATTTAATTGATATAAATTTTTACCCATTTGTGTCAAAAAAAAAGTTTAAAAAATAACGATTCTGAATATTGTCACATATTATCATCATTGAATTTTTATTTAATTTAACATGCTTACCAACCCCATTTAATTCAAGAAAAACTATTATAAAATTATTATTTTCACAATAATAATTTACTAAAAATTTTGAACGAAAGCTTTTTAAAAAGTTGAATTAATATAATTATAAAGATATTGAACTATTGGAAAATTTCCATTTATTTTTGTAATTTCAATAAGTGTTTATTGCAAAACAGTTAAATCATAATAGTATTTTTGTACACAGATCATTCCAATTATTCTAATATTTTTCTAATTAAAGTTAATTAGAAAAATATATTTTCTGAAAATATATCATGGCGAGTCAATGTTATAAAATATATCTTTAATTTAAATGACCTAAAAATTACATA